TCAAGTAGTCCTTTATTTATGTATATATACATCTGTAAATAAATTCTCTTGCTTGAAAGAAGAGATAAGTGATTGAAGGAGAAAAAGAAAAGTGAAAACCGGTCAAGTGGTTCCTTGTTATCCCATTCCTTCTCCTTCATCATTTTAACTTCCAACCAATCCAAGAATTCATCCATCTTGCTAGATAAGTTAGTTCTTCTAAATATTTAGCTAATCCTTGATAGCATCAATCAACGTATAATTGATTCATCATTCTTGCTATAGATGAACTCTTTTATAATTTGTGACATATTTCGAACAAAATTTTGGAATTCATTGCTTGGATCTTTGAAAAAAAAAGAAGAAAGGAAGAATCCAAAGAGTAATGAGACACAGAACTTTATCCTTTGAAAAATTCTTATATCATTATGATTATCATCTTGTCAAGTATTTTCTTTCATACTTGTCTAATTTTATTTTCATATTTTGAATTTTTGAAAGATCATCGCTAATTTTTGTAAATGAACAAGGCGCAGATAATACTTTTTCCCATTTGCAAATTACCAAACTTATCACTGGAAGTATACCATACGATTACCGTCTAGTTTAATTTATTGAATATACAATAAGCATAGTGTGTACTGTAAGCATATTGTATGCTATATATTGCGAGTGTACTGTTCCTACAATTACCTTTTAATGTAACTTATTAAATATACTGTAGGCATTTCTGCAATTATCTTTTAATTTAGTTCATTGAGTATACTGCAGACATTCCTGCAATTACCTTTTAAGGTAATTCATTGAGTAAACTGTAAGCATTCTTACGATTATCTTTTAATTTAATTCACTGAGTGTATATTCAATGATTATATCTTATCTATTGGACACATCAAGCAGTTATTATTGAAAATTTCATCATGTCTAAATTTTTTAAGGAAAAATTAACTGATTTATTTTTTAGTTATTAAAATATTTTTTATTTTTAGTTATTAAAATTTTTTTTATTTTTTACTTATTAAAATCACAAATTAACGATCGTCTTTTTATTTCCAATTTCACAAATTATTTTTTTCTTCCTATGCACACTAATTATCATTAACTAATTATTTTTGCTCTTGTTTATTTGCTTGAACTAATCGAATGATTCATACTATAGCATTTCGTACCGGGAGATATCGATCTGAAACGATCATCAATTATGCTTGCTACACCGCTTTTTGTTGCCGCTTGTATATACTATAAACGCACCAAAAGTAAATGTAATGACCGTATCGCTGGTGATACCAATAAGCAGTCTAAACAGAATGGCAAGCATCCAAAACCTTCTGAATCTAATAATCCGGACGAAACAACAACAACAATCCGATCGAATATTAAAACGAATGCGAAGAAAGCAATGGTAGTACCATTATGTGATAGTACTGATAATGATGACGATGATAGTTGCTATTATGCTCCCGGAAAATGTCATACATCTAAAAAAGTATTCCGGATGACGGATGAGGTTCCGAAAAAGAGGCGAAAAAAATCAGTTACCGTAGAAAACATACATATTCCGAAGAAAGTCTTCAGACCGATGTGCGAAATTCCAAAACCACCCAAAAGTCGATACTCATCAGAAACCGAAGAAACTCAAGTATCATCAGCGTCATTACTACAGAGATTAATGGAATTCGGTGGTGAACAGTTTCATCGAACTACTCGGATAACTGGATCAATCCGGAAAAAACGATTTACGAATAGGCTAGCATTAACATTAGCCAAAAGGATGGAATCATTGATCGGTAAAACAAATGATAAAAGCAAATGTTCATCCATACTAACCGTATCACCTGAGATAGGATCTGTAGAGTTAGGAAAGGATAAAATGGAATATATAGATGCGGAAGGGGATGATCCAGATTGTTGCAGGAATAGATCTACGATGAAACGTGGTTTTCGGTATCTTTTTAATCAGGAAAAATCAAATAACAAGTAATTATTTTTCATTTGATTAATTAATAACTAACTAAATCAAACTTATTATTGAAAAGTTTGAGTAATTTGGTTAGTTTTCCAACATTAATTGATTACTGAATTAATTACTTTGATTGTTGCTCTTTGTCTTTCATTTAGCAGAATTTTCATGAATTTCTTTTACCAGTTATCATTTCCTTCAGGTATATTACTAATTAAAAAATTTTATAAACTATTTAAAATTAATAAGGAAACTGTTTTTTTAAGCAATCATAACACATTACAGAGATAGCAGTGGTAATGATGATATGGAAGTGGAGCAAAAACGTGGATTTTTTCAGGTATATATTTTAGAAAAAAGGAGTGTTTTTTCAAACATCGGACTTTAATACTTGAAAAACTTTCTCTTGTAAGATGAGATTTTCATGAATTTCAGAAATTCTTCCGTCCAACAAGTTCACTAAGTGGTGGTGAAGGGACAAGTACAGATCCGGAAAGAAGGCCATTGTTACATGATGATGATGGATATGCCGTAATTGATAGACTACAGCATGAATTTGTTGACAAGGAAAAACGTGAAAGTAATCCTTTTTGCCACTTTTTTTTCTTTATTGTTAATCTTTGACACGTGAAATTCAGTATGTTTAACCTAAAATCCAAGTAAATTATAAAAAATAAGCGTAAAATTTTGATCAATGAATTGATTGTGTAATTTTTTGTCAAATTTATGTAAATTAAAACTGGAATTTGACCTTAAATTTGAAATTGATATGTACTCTATAGTTATATTTGAAATTTGCTTTGATCTTTGGATTAAAGAAGAAGTAATGTTCGAATCAATGATTTGATTAAAGATTAAACGGAGCATAAACATGAAATAATAGTTATACATAAATTTTCTATTATGACATTTTGCTTGTAGACGAAAAAGTATCAGTTTTCAGGAAAACAATTTAATAATAATTTAAACATTGATTTAAATGTTTCAATACTGGAATTTGAATACTAGAATATTATTATTATTATTATTATTATTATTATTATTATTATTATTATTATTATTATTATTATTATTATTATTATTATTATTATTATTATTATTATTATTATTATTATTATTATTATTATTATTATTATTATTATTATTATTATTATTATTATTATTATTATTATTATTATTATTATTATTATTATTATTATTATTATTATTATTATTATTATTATTATTATTATTATTATTATTATTATTATTATTATTATTATTATTATTATTATT